AGAGAGAGAGAGAGAGAGAGAGAGAGAGAGAGAGAGAGAGAGAGAGAGAGAGAGAGAATACAGAAACAAAGAAATAAAGAGAAAATCAGTTTGCTCAGAAAACCGGTTTCTGGGCCTGTGGAAGCCAGGACCTCCCCCTCCCTGCTCTCCACTGGAAAAATTGATTCTCAGCCCCTGCACAGTATGTTCAGGTTGGAAAGCCTCAGTTTCTCAGACCAATAAATGTATGCTCTCAGCCAGGTTGCAAGCCCTTAATCCCAGCCTTAGGAGGCAGACACAGGCAGAGCTCTGTGAGTTCAAGGCCAGCCTGGTTTACAGAGTGAGTTCTAGGACAGCCAGGGCTACATAGAGAAACTCTGTCTTGAGGGGGGCGGGGAAATGTCTGCTCTCTCTGTTTTGAGGTCAAACTGAGTTATTCTTTCATTTTCCTTTGCTGACTTATTTCTTATTACACTGTTATTTTCTCACCTTAGAATTTGGTATGAGGCTGGTGCCCAAGGCTTTCTCAATCCCATAGTCAACCAATAACATAAAAATACTCAAATAAGCAATTACAATTAGTCAAGTCACAGAGGAAGTGGAATTTATAGTGAAAAATTGACCCCAAATAATAGCAAAAATCCCTGTTAAGTATCAAACCTGGGACAAATGGTTAACTGAGGGGCCTGTTAACATCAAAGCATTTGCTGTCTGCCAGGTTTTCCCAGCATCTCTCAGTAGCTATGACAGTCACCCTGCCTGGCAAACTCATGCCACCCTAAACAACAGCCCAAGGACTGGGCTGGGCCTTTCCTTCCCCCAGCTTCTCTGATTCCTGTTGGAATATTTAAAGACTCTCTCGGAACTATGGACTTCGATGGATGAGGTCTTGTTTTGGTTTTGGCTAGTGATGCTGTCTGTGTGCTGTTTCACAGCTGGATGGCACTTCTGTCATGGTGTCAGGTGTGCTAAGGTCTGGGGCCCTCTTACAAATGGTGCCCCCAAACCCTGGGGCTCAGTATCCCAGGGTACAGGAGAGTGAGCCTTACAGGGCCTGGAAATCAGTGTCTGTGGTAGGGAGTAGGGAGGGGAAGGGCCTGGTTCCACCAGACACAGAAACTGCTTTTTGTTTTTGTAAACTGCAAAGTGAGAGATACGCCAGATTCCTGGGGTCTTTGAATCTCTGGGCTCCAGGCACACGATGCAGCTGGCTGCTTTCCAGGAACTCCATGGACAGCACATTTCTTGAGGCCTTGGGCCTGTCACATGGCCCTGGTTTAGGGTAGAGGTTTCCTTTAAACATTCTCACCTACACTCGGGAATACAGACACCTTTTCTCCACAGGACTCACACTGTTGAAGGCTTTCCCTAAGCCTGGCCTTCACAGGAACTGTGCACTTCAAATCAACACACTATCCAGAAAACACCGCCACCCCAACAGCCACCACTTCAGTCACATCTGCACCCCAGTTTCCTGTGTCCCTACTTCCACTCATGTTCTACACACAGACACTTGCATAGAGATGAAAAGTTAAAAAGGCCAAAACCAAGGAGCAAAATTCCCCTCTTAAGAGCAACAGACCCTAAGGTTTCTCTGTGTAGCCCCAAGATGTCCTGGAACTCACTCTGCAGACCAGGCTGGCCTTGAACTCACAGAGATCCGCTTGCCTCTGCTTTCCAAGAGCTGGGATCAAAGGCGTGCGCCACCACTGCCCAGCCAAGATCTCTGTTATAAGCAATTAGTACCTAGCTCCTAAGGCCTTCACCTCAGTTCACATGCTCAGGGAGACAAGTGTCATTGTAAACTTACTCCCTCAGGAGAGTAGGCCTTTTTCTTTCATTCTAGTAAAGTATGTAGAGGTATCATGAACCATGAGGCCAAGCCAGGTAACTTCTCCCAACCCCTGTAAAGGATCCATGTCCTCTCACGGGCAGAATTTTCCCTTCCTCTTTCTCTGAGCATTTGCCTGCAATGCCTTTGTTCACTGTTTTACTGTCTAGAGATCTTTTTCTAGAGATTGGGTTTGTTTTCTTTCCCAGTTTAAAAAAAAAAAGAAGGCAGGAAATATCCTGAGTGTGACAGGTAGCAGTAGGGGAAATTCTTGAAAACAACAACTGGGAGCAGACAGAATCGATGAGAGTACACAACCCTTAGACCTTACGTTGTACCCAGAGTCCCCCCAGACCACCAAGAGACCGAATCCAATGCGAAAGCAAAGAGTCTTTTACTATTACGAGTTAACTTGGGACTCTCCGCACGTCTGATGCAGCAGCAGAGCAGGAGAGACCCTGAGCAGCAATGGGGCAGGATTTTTAAAGCAAAGGAGGCTTAGGGTCTACAGACTACATAAGAACAGATTCAGGATTGGTTTATGTGAGTGGCAATTATGCTAGGGTTAGTTGGGGGTTACAATTATCCATTTTTGGGCAGGTGTGGACAATTCCAGGCTTTGTCCTTGAGCTGCCATGGAGGCTGGCTGGCCTAGCATGTACTGACTGTGCGGTCTGCTCAGTGGCCCAGGCTTTCACATTGACCCATGCACGTAGCTCTAAGTTGGTGAGGGGTCCCAGACAGTAAACAATTGGCTGAACCTTGAACAGTCAGAAATACATGCAGAAAGGGAACTACTACAAGGACTATGTCTTTTGTTCACGGCCCTCCCAGAAACTGCTTGCTCAAGTCTCAGGAAACTGAAATTGAGGCCTGATCTCTGAGAAGACTGAGCGGCCTGCTATGGCGTCTGCTCGGTCCTCTCACTCACTTTGACAGCGACAGCCCTATGCTGGTTCTGTTACTCGAAAGAAGTTTAGCAGCTTAGGGTTGGGTCTAGATAGGCTAGAAAGCGAGGACTGATCCGGCTCCAGAGGCATCTCCCCTCCAGGACACATACCCCAACCCTGTCTCATTTCCCTTTCTTTCTTCTTCCTCTTCCTCTTCTTTTTTAAGACAGGGTCTCTCTGTGTAACCCTGGCTGTCCTGGAGCTTGCTCTGTAGACCAGGCTGGCCTCGAACTCAAGAGATCTACCTGCCTCTGCCTCTTGAGTGCTGGGATTAAATGTGTGCACCACCTTGCCCTTCCCAAAGTTTCTTTTTGCTTCTACAGATGGTCATTCTATCTACTCAGGTCCCCCAAAAGAAAACCACTATTTTCCATTGCTATCCTGTAAACAAGGCTCCACAAGGAAAGACCAGAAGGGCTCCAGGAATTATCTTCTTTACTCACAGTTCACAAGGGACCCACACTTAGATCAAATATGCTCCTAAGTTTAAATACCACTTTCACTGTTCGTGTGCAGCCCAGGATACCTCGACCCCAGGAAAGGAGGGAGGGAAACCAGAGGAGGCAGAAAATGTCATTCTGGGACTTCCACATCCCTAACTCCCCTCCTTCCAGTATGAAAATCTCCCTCCTCTACAGGCTCAATAGTGGACAAACCGTCACCACAGTCAATGGAACCTTTAACTTGTGGTGTCCTTCTGAGAGATCACCTCTGACATTAGCTATGTGGGTTTGCAGAACACCAATCAATTTTCAAACACAAACCAGGTACCTTACAATTCAATTCTGACAAAACCCAGATTTAAAACAGCAACAAAATCATTAGGGTTCCACCACACTATTACTACTGCAGTCCAAAGCATGCTTTCCTGTGTCTAGACACCAGAGCCTCCTGCCTCAAGGCACAGAGGATGATGTCCTAGGTCAGAAAAATGGCTCGGCAAATGAAGACCCTTGCTGTGAAGGCTAACAACCTAATTCGATTCCCCGGGCCCACGTGGTAGGAGAGTTGATTCTCATGGTTGTCATCTGATCTTCACGTGTGCTCTGTAGCATACTTGAACCCCCACCCCCAGTAAATTAAAACATAGTAAATCTGAAAAGATGTATTCTCTTTTTAAATGTATGTGAGCATATAGGTGTGCTTGTGTGCATTTCTGTGTACTACATGTGTGCAAATGCCTGGAGGCAGCCAGAGGGTATCTGATGCCCTGGAACTAGAGTTACAAGCAGTTGTAAGCCACCATGGGGGTGCTAGGAGCCAAACCCAGGTCTGCTTTTAAAAGATGCTTTTAGGGCTGGAGAGATGGCTCAAAGGTTAAGAGCACCGACTGCTTTTCCAGAGGTCCTGAGTTCAATTCCCAGCAACCACATGGTGGCTCACAACCATCTGTAATAAGATCTGGCTCCCTCCTCTGTATACATAATAAATAAATAAATCTTTAAAAAAATAAATAAATAAAAGATGCTTTTAACAGCTGACTCATCTATCAAGTCCCAGTTTAAAAAAAATTTTAAAGATTACACACCTATATGCTCACAATCAAAGTTCTTTCTGCAACATTGGGGCGTCCATCCTCAGTCTATAGGCCTAGAGTATCTGTCAGAGATTTCTATGAAGCAGAAAATTTGGACTGTCTTGCCTTGTTTTGGCAAAGTTTGTCACTTTGCTCTGTGTCCTGCAGAATATCTAATATACTCTTCTGTGAAGCAGGAATTTTGAAGGACTGTTCTGTCTTATTTTGGCAAAAGTCAGCAGTCTTTTCCCTTATGTGTCCTGCATGTCCAGTCTGCACAGCCCATTGTCAGCAGTCAAAGGCAAGAACAGTTTCTTTGCCCAGTGGCTAACCTTGCCACAATGAAAGCAAACTCCATAAGGAGTTTCTTCAATGCTCATTATCTCTGA